CGCTCCAATCCAGCGTCTGTCCCGATATGGTATATGAGCCATACCATAACAGGCATTTACATGCATGCCACCCAGTTTCCTGTGTATTTTCACATCTAGCAAACATTTACTTTCTTCAATTTATGCCGCCCAAATCTCTTATATCACATCAATGGAATCTAAATTTTATTTTCTTATGGTCATTCATACGTAAAATAATATATATATGTAAAAATTTAAATTTGTGTTTGTTGAGAAAATTAGGGCGAAGAAAAACAGTAATCGACACAAATCCAGAAGAACACATAGATTTTAACGAGGTTCGGCAAAGATGCCTCCGTCCTCGGGAGCAGAGCGGCGAGTTCCTTTCAATAATCAGAAAAGCGTTTACAGAAATCAGGGATACCTCCTGGGGTTACTAACAAGCCTATTTATAACCCCAGGAGTAAACCCTAAGCACAATATGTAATTATAACATTACCCCTGTACCATACCGCGGGTTTTGCCTCCGCACAACATTACCCATGTACCATACCGCGGGCTTTGCCCCCGCACCCCAACCCACGTAACTTCTCAATTTGGACAGATTCTTACGCTCCGCTCCGCTCTGCTTCGATCCAGCGTCTGTCCTGATATGATATATGAGTCGTACCATAACAGTGTTAGATATAAATATATAGCAAATTAGTGGTACCGATGTAAATTTTTCTTTTTAAGAAATCACGTCGAAAACATTTCAAAAAACACAATGCCACTGTCTGCTACTGTCTGCTTGACATGAGTAAGAATAAGACTGTTGAAACGGTTTATTTATTTATTTATTTATTTTATTTTTGTTTTTTTTTTGTGATAATTTGTGTTTGGTTCCATAGGAAACTTGTGTTTTATTCATTCGTCTCGTTAATGAGTCAAACACAAACATTTTTTTTTTAATCTTGATATATAAACAATCCAAACACGAATAAGAATTTATTCGTTTGTGTTCTTCTCGTTTTAGCTAAAAAAATAAATTTATTTATTTATCTGTTTATTTAGTTATTATTTTTAAATAAAGAATTGGTTGGGATGTGAGTTCCCAAACCCACCCTATTGGCTCAACCCTCCTCAGGTCTGAGGGCGACCCATGCACCTAAATATTCGAGGACCCCCTCCTTCAAGATCAGTCGCTAGAGGCGGGAGTCAAATCACAGACCATAAGAGACTTACACTGCCGAAGCGAATACTCTACCAACTGACCTGAGACCGCATATATATATATATATATATATATATATATATATTG